ATGTTCACTGACATCATGGGGATGCAATGCAAAATCTGGACTGTGGGAACCCCATAGGACAGTCTGGTTTCTTCAGTACAAAATTTAGAGGTCAGTGATCCAGTGGAAGACTTAAAAGACAAAATAACGGCTCATGTTATGTGGTTCTTATTTGGACACTTGTACAAACAACTGTAATAAAGAAAAAGTGCATTTATGATATCAAAGCACACATATGCACTACACCCACATTTCAGCAACCCAGACATAGCATTTTACTTTGCCCAGTCAGTAACCCCAAAATATAACATCATTCTGACCTCTATCGCCATAGATTTGTTTTGCCTCTTCTTGAACTTTTGAATGATGCAGTATGCACTCTTATGTGTACAGTTTCTTTGCTTAATGTTATGTCTGTGGGATTTAACCATATTGTTGCCAGGAAGCAGTTCAGTTTAAAAGATATATTTTTAAAAGGAGCTTCAATATAAGGTGTTGTTCACTATGGGAATGATTTATTTAGCATGAAAAAAAAAAGCACTCAGCATCACCTGAAACTACTATAACATTGTGTGTTGACTATACTTCAATTTAAAAAAGTAAAAAAAAAAAAAAGGGGGAAAGTCTATATAACAAAAAGCATTCAGTGCATATACAAAATAATTTATAAGACTCAGTCTTTATGAGAACCAATTAGTGTAGTTGTCATAGGTAAAGTTTACGAAAACTAAAAAATTTGAGCTGGATCTTTGAAGAAGTTTAAATCCTAAATAACATAAGAAAAGGGTAATCAAGATGAGAGAATAGTGAATAAACGCTTCAAAAAGTTTTGGAAAAGTGATTAAATCAAAATAGCTGGAGTTAATAGCTGGAGGTGGGGGTTGGTATTTGTGAGATTTTCTCCAAGCTCTATTGAGCTACAATGTACATAAAATAAATGTATATATCTAAGGTGCTACAATTTTGTTTTTAAATATATGTTATATACCTGTGAAACAATCACTACAGTAGAGATAATGAAAATATCTACCATGATCAAAAGTTTCATAGGCCCCACTGCAATTCCTTATTCATATTCTTTCCCCATCTTGCATGCCTCATGAGCATGATTACTTTCAGATGCATACATTTTGCTGCATATATCAATTGTTTATTCATTTGTATTAGTGATGTCATATTATATTTGTTTTTCTCTGTCCTCAAGGTCCATCCATGTTGTCAGAACATGTCACAACATGTTACATCTTCTTTATTCATCTATTGACAAACACTTAAGTTGTTTCCTTTACTTTGCTATTATGAATAATGCTGCAATAAACACAGAAGTCCATTTATCTCTTCAATGTGCTGTTTTCATTTCCTTTGGATATACACCAAGAAGTAGAATTTCTGGATCCTATGGTAGTCCTATTGTTAATTTTTAAAGTAAACTCCATATTGTTTTCCATAGTGAGTGAACCAATTTGCATTCCCGCAGAGTGTGCAAGGGTTCCTTTTTCTTCACATTCTCCCGAACACTTTTTATCTCTCATCTTTGTGATGGCAGCTATTTTCACAGGTATGCGGTAATATCTTATTGTGATTTTGATTTACATTTCCCTAATGATTAGTAATGCTGGCTCATTTTAAAATCAGATTTTTTTTTTTGATTCTTATTGAGTTGCATCAATTCCTTATATATTTTGGATATTAACCCCTTATTTGATATATGCAAATATTTTTTTCTATCCCCAAAATTACCTTTTCATTTTTTTGATTGTTTCTTTTACTCTGTGGAAGCTTTTTAGTTAGATGGAGATGCATTTGTTGAACTATGAATGACAAGAAATCCATACACAAATAAAAGTTCAGATGAAACTGATCATTTAAATGAAGTCAGTTGTTAGTGGCATTTTTTTTATGTGTGTTATTCAATTAAGATAGGGTACTATTTTTGTGGAGCTTCCTTTTTAAAACATGGGTGCCTTTAATCAAACTCCTCCTTTGATAGATATTTATGTATTTAATTTTACTTCTCTTTTACCAGTACTTATAAGAAGAAAAAAATTAAAACTTTCTTTTTGATGAATATATCAAAGACCATTTTCAGTATTAATTAATAAGTAATTATAAGCATTATTAACATGACACCAAGCAGTTATGAAATAATTAAAATGCACAGATTACACTCTTTTTCATGGCTCATATCATTGAATGAAACTCACTCCAAGTAAATACACTGCACAGACAAGGGTATTAAGAAACTCTGACAGAACTCTGATAATACTCATAAGTCAAATGGAAAGTCTCTGCTTCAGTTTGATTGCTTAACATGTTCCTCTCCTCTGTCAGTGTGTTTGTTTCAAAATACCTTTTAAAAAGTTTCACAGATTCTAGGAGTATCTGGGTGGCTTAGTCGGTTAAGCGCCTGACTTGTGACCTTGGTTCCGGTCATGATCTCGTAGTTGTGGGATTGAGCCTGCATTGGGCTCTGCACTGGCAGTGTGGGGACTGCTTGGGATTCTCTGGGTTCTCTCTCTCCCTCTCCCTGCCCCTCTCCAACTCACGTCTCACTCACTCCCAAAATGAATAAATAAACATTAAAAAAAAAAGGTTTCACAGATTCTGACAAAACTTGAAATATTCCAAAATTTACCCATAATTTTAAATTCGATTTCTGGTTCAGTCTGCCACTTAAAAGAGAAATGGTTTTGGATTTAGTTTTTCAAATGGAGATAATTATTAACATTTTGAAAGAGATTTCAATAAAGTCAGTAGTTATATAGAAGTTGGAGAGATATGCATTCTGTGCAATGCCAAGTAAATAATTGGTGGCATTATCAGTATTTCAGATAACATTGCAGATTTTCTTCTGCCCAAATTAGACATGGTCTTTCATCTTGCTGACCAACTTCTATCCGCTATTAACTAATCACTTTGTTAGTCACCTGACAACTTTAAAAAAATTGACCAAGTGTGGTAAACTTCCCAGAGTTGTCAAATGTTACGTGACTCATTCTATTTTCTTGATTTAAAATTGCAGTCAATACAATATGTTTAGTGCTTATCATTTATATTTTTGAAGATATTTTGATTGAATTTGATATATGAATAGAGTGACTAGATTATAAAAGTGAATATCATCAAAAAATAGATGATTCTACAAATACTACCTATTACATACATTAGCCTTAGGCAAAAATCATTAACAGTGAACATCAAAAAACAACTTATTATGATTCAAAAGGCTTCTGTGATGCAGATTAGTCTTGGCATCAAAGAAGTTCAGAATTGAAAAAGACCTCAAAGAAGACCTTGTAAAATCATACCTGTGATCTTTGGAGTCTTTGCAGTACATCCCTGACAAACCCAGCTTGGATTGAATGTCATCAATGACTTTTAACTCACTTCTTTTAAAGCAGTCCATTCTGTCTTTAGCTAGTTTTGAACTAACATCGATTCCAAATCAGTTTCTCTGTAGCTTTCTCACACTGATTTCACTTCTCCACCAGGATTACACAGGACTAGTCTCAAGCCTTTTCCACAGGAAAATCCTTTTCATGTATTAAGAAAGCAGTATGCTCTCTGAGAATTCTCTTTGTAAGAGAAAACACTCCTAGTTCTTTCCATTGTTCCCACTTGCCATGGTTTCCCCATTCTGGTTGCTGTCTCTTGAATGTGCTGAAATCTTTTGAGAAGAGAAAATTTATTATATAAACTCACAGATAATGGTCAAACATTTGTTGATAAGTAAATGAATAAATTAATAAATGAAATGTATTGCTGAGGAAAGCTGAAATATAAAATAAAGCATATAACTTGGTCTATGTATTGAATATTACTACTAATTTCAGAAAAAAACAAATCTGTTTTTCAATTTTTTTTTTCACTTAGTATCTGGGTAGATATATGGGAAGCTGAACAAATATTCATCTTACTCAACATACATATTATAAAGTTATAGTTTCTAACTGCCCTCAAAATTCAAACTGGCTTCTTGACTTAGCACCTATTTGGATTCTTACAAGCCAAAAATCGATGAAAATTTTCAAAATGAATAAATTTTTATAGTCGTATTTCAAACTTATCAACTCCTCTTCAAAAGTTAGTGTACAAATAAGGCTTTTTGTTGTGATGTTAATGTGCTCTTCCAGCAGAAACGTAGTGCTTTGTGATTCAAAAATTATTTGATCCTTTCCATTCCAAATCATTTCCACACTCTGTCTGAATATCGATGAAAGAAATTGGCTAACTCTCTGGAGCAGTGCTGTTCAATAGAACTTTCCACAATGATATAATGTTTGATATTTGCCCATCTAACATGGTAGTCACTAGCTACAGGTGGCTATTGAGCACTTGAAGTGAGGCTAGTGTAACAGAGGAACTGAATTGTTTATTTTATTTATCTTTAATTATCTTTAATTATTGAAATGTAAATAATTATATGTGGCTAGTAGCTGCCAAACTGGAACAGCTCTAGTTGATGGACCCTCAGATACCCTTGCCTCTTAGTCACTGTGTTCTGGGACATATTAGCTTTGTTTAGATTTTTTTTTCCTCCCAAATGTGTTTTTTCCCCAAATTTCTGTCACTGCATAAAAAAACAATTTTCATTATAATATAGGCATTAAAGGCCATGACATTTAAATAGTTTTTAAAAAACTAATGGCCTTTGCTTATTTCTCATGCATTTTCCAGTTTTATTTTATGTTTCCTTCAATACTAAAAATAAAACCCTTACATCTAGGATATGGCTGTAAGTTCATAAGTAGTAAAGCGGGTATTTTCAAGGGTGGCAGAGGAAAAAGGGAAGAGAAGGAATTACTTATTTTTCAAAGTTAAAAGGTCACATACGTAATAAAGATTGGCTTGAGTTTTAAAACCATGGTCTTTTTTTTTTTTTACAAACAAGCCTCAAATGTTTTAATGGAATTTAGTTTTTCCTTTAAACTGTCTTTTCACAGTCAAAACAAACAACAAAAAACACCCAATGTTAAAACCACTTAATAAACTTACAAACTAGAAAAATTAGACACTTCAGATAGGCAATAAACTTCATATTATGAAAGCAATATATATTCCAAGTTTCAAAGGTTTGACAAGTTCTGCAGAGTATCTTTCATCAGTAGATGGAAACTTTCAAACTCCACAATCTTCTCCCAAGTAGCACTGAGTGTCATTCACTGGTTTGAGGTCGAATCCATTTCAAGGCATGTCGTGGCGGTACAGTGATGGTGGGATGATAAAATGTGCAGTCAGGTCTGGGACACTGAGTGTTAAATCTGCAGTGTTTTGGATGATAGAAGGGACATTCCATTTTCTTACAAGCAGGGAAATAATGGCACAGCTGACTACTAGAAGATGGTGCTGGTGTTGTAACTGGTTTTAGAGGCAGTACTGGAATTCTTCTACTCATATGAGTGAAGGGACAATCTGGTTTAGTACATTTTGTATCATATTTACAATCTGGATAAACAAACACTTCTCAGCAAATTTGCAATTGGGGAAGGCTTTGCAAGGTGAAACAGGATGATTCACTCATCCTGCATTTTTACAGGCAGGCCAGTACTTGCAACGCTCCAGAAGTTTTTCTGGTTTCTGGGCCACACTCAGTTCACTCATCTCAGCATTTGCAAAGCTACCATTTGGGTCATCAAGCTGCCTGCTCATCAACTGCAACTGCTGTGGGTGGAGGAGACCTCTGAGTCCCTTGCTCGCGGCTGCAGTTTGGTTTACACGTTTCATTCCTTCAAAGCACATGTCCTCTTCTTGATCTGACATGTATCCTGGGGGGCTGGGGACACCATCCAGCGTCACTATAAGCTTGGGACTTGCAGGTTTATCTGGTTGTACAAGATCTCGTGTCTGCATAAGGTGTCCTGAAAGTACCCGAAGGGTATCTGCAGTCTTCATCCCCGACTCCTGGTTTGGTGCCACTACTATTTCCTCAGACAGCTTTGGCTTCTTCAGAATAAATGATCTTGTGTCCGCATGGACCATGGATTCCATGTCATAGTAATCTCGACTGATCTGCAGAGTTTCTGCCATTACTGGGTCGATTTGTAGTCGGGATAACAACTGCCTCTGTGGAGCTCCTTGACTTTTTTCTATATTATCTCCTTTTGTTTCCTCTTCTTTAATGGGAGGACTTATCCTGGGGGTCCTGCTTTGCCCCTGGACCATTTCTGCCAGCAATTCTTCTTGAGAAGTTCGAGTTCTGGGAGCAACTGGAAGTGTCTGTTTCTGTGAGACTGTAGAATAGTTCGTTGTTTTTGTTACAGATTCTTGAGCTTCAGATATAGCCTTCAAAATTAGATTCTTGTTAGCTTGTTTAGAAGGTGGAAGTGAAGGTCTCCTTTCAGGCTTTGCTGGCACTGACACACTGTTGGCGATGCTTCCTGTATGAGACCCACAATCATCATCTTCCTCCTCCTCTTCTCCATCATGATTGAATTTTTTTACTTTAACAACGGAACTTACCACAGGCAACTTTCTCTTCCGAAAGTTTTCTTCCTCAGTACTCATTTTTTCTCAGTTGTTTCTGAAGAAGGGACTAGAAGTCCCTTCTAAGCTGTTAAGCACTTCCTGTTCACACAAATGTCCTGTTTCATATACCCGGCTGTTCTGTATATCAGGTTGCTTGGCAGCATGAATATTGTTTTGTTGCTGCTGAAATTGCAACCTGTTTAAATGAGCACTATTTGCATTTCGACTTGCAGGTGGTCGATAAATTTCAATAGAAGGGCGAGAAGAACCATACATAAGTGTCACTGTCGGTTTTTTCTGAGACAAGGGATTCTCCTGCACAAAATTGAGGTCTTCATCAATGAGATCATCTGGTTCTGGCTTAATATCAATCACATCTTCAGAGGGTGCTGGCTCCCTCAGAGGCTTCACAGTTGACATTAATCCGGTTGCAGCTCTATCATCATAAGTCTGTCTAACATTAGTGGTTTTCTGCTCCTGTGAACTAGTAGAAACCCTGGAATCTCTTTTCTCAGGTCTTGTGCTAGCAACTGCGAGGGGTGGCACTGCAGCTTCAGGCCTTCTCTTGGCTCCCCGACCGAAACTGCTCTTGTTTGAAGACATGTTATTATCAAAGATGTTGGTATCAGAAGACTTGAGACTGGAGGGATCAGTTGTAACAGAACGAAGTTTATCTAATACACCGTGAAGCTAACATAAACTCCTAATTCTTGCAATTTCCCCTTAATGGCACGCCGGATCTTGTGGCTAATCTCGGCGCCGATCTCCATGGCTCCACGGCGGGTGGCAGGCTCAGCAATGCGCGGCTCCTCACTTACCAAGAGACCCGCACCGGCTCCCGGCCGGCCGCAGCTCCGCCGCCGCCTAAAACCATGGTCTTAAAACAACAACAAACAGTTGGAATATCTCAGATATCAAGTCTTGGAATATAAGGAATATTTGCCATTGGTTCGAGGTTGACTTATGCTACTTTTTAAATAAACACTTAGCGTATAAAATACTGAACCGAGTAGAGCGATGGGAATTTTTTAGCTCTCTTTTGAATGTTCCAAGGACAACTGCAAAGACTTTTTCTAACATGTCACACACAATTTATTTTTAAAACCCTAAAAATCTCACTTTAGAGATGTTGTAAGGAATGTCTCTTGGTAGTTCTGGGCATTTTCAAAGTCTTACTGCTCTTCCTGGTGAAATTGTTCAGATGGTTTCCTGATAGGTAACTTAACTTTAGATATCAGTAAACAATAATCAGAAAGGGAGTGGGAAGTCAAAGGGCTAATGTTCAGTTGCTTGAAGACTTCACTATCACAAAAACACTTCCTACTCCCAATCTCTAGATCTTGGTTTATATTATTTCTTCTTCAAAAAAGGTGTATCATATCATTCAAAGTCAAGCTCAAATGTCACCACCTGTAAGAATCCTTCTCTGATCATACGAATTAAAACAATCTTGTTCTCCTCATCTCTGTAGTGCTTTGATCATATTATTCATGACTCCACATACCATATTCGTTACAAGTCATCTTCTCTAGTAGTCTGAGAGGTCATTAATACAGGGCTTACATCTTAAGTCTCTTTGTACCAATTCCCAGTACTTAGCGCATGTTAATGATCTGAAGCCATTCTCATTTTTAAAATGGGAATGATCAGCCACCCACTTCACATATTGTTCTGGATACTGTTGCTGCATAACAAAAATATCCCAGAATTTAGCAGTTTAAAACAATGATTTTACTGTGCTCATGACTTGTGGGTTAGGAATTTAGACAGGGTTCATCTGGGTAAGCTCTTATTTGGAATCACTTATGCAGGTATATGTTGGTTGGGGCTTCTGTCATCTTAAAAAAGCTCAGTTGGGCTGGATGTCCAAGATGGCTCACTCTTACAGGACTGGCAGTTGACCAGAGCACCAATATGTGGCCTCTTCAGGGTGGACCTGGGAGTGTAATCAGCTTTCTTATATGAAAGTTTAGGGTTCCAAGTGCAAGGTTTAACCAAACAAAATGGAAGCTGCATTGTCTTCTGTGACCTGGCCTTGAAAGTTTATTGTGTTACTTCTGTTGTAATGTATCACTATAAGTGTCCACAAGTCACCCAGATTCAAAGGAAGAGTAATTAGACTATACCCCTTGATGGGTACAGCAAGGTCACATTGCAGAAGAACAAATGAGATGGGAGATATTGTTGTGACAATATTTAGAAAATACAATCTGCCACATACAAATAATAATGTGAAAACATGCTCGATCCCAGAGACTTATGGACATTTTCATTCATATTGTACCTTCTTTTTTTTTTAATCATATCACCTTCTGAACTTTGACCTATTCAGTTCTTTTTTTTTATTTTTAATGTTTATTTATTTATGAGAGAGAGAGAGACTGAGTGCAAATGGGGGAGGGGCAGAGAGAGAGGGAGACACAGAATCCAAAACAGGCTCCAGACTCTGAGCTGTTAGCACAGAGACTGACATGGGGCTTGAACTCAAGAACTGCGAGATCAGGACATGAGTTGAAATCTAGACACTTAACCGACTGAGCCACCCAGGTGCCCCTAACCTATTCAGTTCTATGCCAGGCCTGATACTTACCCAAAGAGTCACACTCAAGGTCTATGGCATAATATACTAATATGCAGAGAGTGGGCAATAATGCTCAGAACTTTGAGCTTATCTGTCCTGCTGTTCCATCCGTCTTTCTTTCTTATCTTTTTACTACTTCTACTTGTTCTGTCAACCTTTTATAGAGCTGGCTCTATATGCTGTATTCCTCTTTATTGGCATTCTCAGAGTATCTTCATCTTCTCGTCTCTGAAGCAAGGGATTTTTGATGAATAGAAATATTTCATCCATTGTAGCAGAAGGTTAATTTTAATCCTTCAGTGTCCACACTGGTCCTTGGAAAGAATCATTATCTTAGCCCAAAATTCCTTAAATGAGATTTTGTTTTTAGGTCAATGAAAAAAGAGAGCAAGAGAGCAAGAGAGTGCCTCTTTTTGCTGGGGATGCAGGTCAATCCAAATAAAAGTACCTTATGCAGTAGATTCTGAGGTAATATTGTTATATATACAAACATAACCAACATTCACCTGGTGCTCACCACGTACCAGATAGACACCACTTAGTGGATGCAACGAAGTGTGAAGATCCAGTCATCAAGCTAGCTGAGAAGACATCTCTTAATCAAAGAAGTAGACAACTAAGAAAACAGTTATGTTCGGTAAGGTCCAACGTTAGTGGTACAACCATAAATTATAATCTTGGGAAAAGTGGACAGAACTGGCATTCTTAGGATACCTTCTGTGTGCTAGTGATTGAGTCCTGATTTCACTGAATCTTCACAACAGGGCCACAGGAAAGAAACAATGCAGGGAGCTGATGGAGCAGAGAGGGGCATAAAGAACCCAAAGCTATGCACTTTGCAAGTGGACGAACCAGAACAAACTTCAGCAGCCAATATCAATGTCAACTTTCTTTCCTGGCTGTGACCCATATCCTCAGGATAGCAAGACTCTCTTTGCTCTTCTGAGATCTCTTTCAGCTTAGTCTTAGATGCTGTTACATGACTGGGGATAATTAATAGGAAAGTCTGTGATGTTGATTGAATCTTTTCTAAGAGACTTTCTCATGCCAAACTGATCAAGGTTCAATTTTTCCAATGGCCACTGGAGGGCTCCCCACGGTAAGCTTTACAGACCATCACCAGGTATTACTTAAACACAATTTTTTGTTGTTCTCTCTGATGTTTGATTAATTCCAGGCCTTTGGGAGTCAGTGAGTGACTATGTCACTCTTAAAAATGAGGGATGAATAACATTTTGTTGAATCCATACTGAGTTAACTTTGGGCAGGGGTCATCTAAGGATCTTGCCACATGGTTCTTTATGTACTTCTGAGGCCAGGCCACCTACATTTTGCTTCTCAAGTCCCAAGCCTGCATTGTATTCAAACAATCACCTGCAGTCCTCACCTACAGAACTGCATCTATGTTATGCCTTCTTTGTCGATGACCAGCTTCTCACTGTCTTCCATGTTGGACTCTACCTTGGGGGCTAAGGCCTCAGCCAGGGCAAAGATGTAATTTGTTCACTGTTGGAGCCTTAGGATATTTTTCCATCTGGGCCTCCAGGCCCTTTGTCCCTGTGCTATCTTAAAGCAAGGGGAGGCCTATAAGAAGGGACCAAGGAGGTTCTAGTTTGCTGTCAAACAAAACTCATTCTCTCCTCTCTACAACTTTACCCTGCTGGTTGATATATCACCCTGCCTGGTGCATTTACAGTTTAAAATACAGAGAGAGAATGTAATGTTGAGTTCAGTGAAATGTGTTCTGATGGCAGAATTTCATATCACAACAAGATGAAATTTTTCAGCAAAGACTCAGAGCCCTCTAAAATATACCAGAACGAATGACAGACTGTGGTGTTGGCTGTTCATGGATACTTCAACTTTTGGATAATGATTTTAGAGGACCTATCCTGCTAGAAAGGTGTTTGGAAAGTAAAGTGGAACTTGAAATAGGGTCTTCTCAGTGAAAAACACTGCCAGTGTTTAAACAAGAATTATTTCATTTAAAAGCAAATCACTCCAACTTGAATGATTTTCAACAGAAGAAATCAGGAGAGGGTAATGTCTTTCACGAGAGACTTAGGTAGACACAAGAACTAGTTAGTTATGTGCCTCCCTATTGTGTAAATCAACAACAGCAGAATTGAGAATGATGGAATATCATGTTCATTGTTATGTTTCAAGACCAAAGCTCTCTAAGTTGACCAACAAAATGCAAACTGTCTACTCATTTGGAGGCAATTGGTCTCCTTAACCATTTGGTACCCCCATGAGTTGAAGTCATTGTTTTCATTTTAGAGCTGGAAGGACCGAAGCATATGGTAGGCAAGCAATTGGCTCAGGTCAGCCAAGATGTGGTTATGGTAATGGCAGTGGCTTAGTTCATGTGTACTAATGGCAGTGGCTTAGTTCATGTTTTCTGCTCATGTGCACTAATGTTAAGTAACTAGGTCCCACTGATACTGTAGTCTTCATCCTTACCTCCTCCAGCAGTGGCTTTAGATGCCTAAGCCTTTTGGCAAGAGATCTATCTTTACAGGAAAGATTAGATAGTAATCTTTCCAAAGAAGCCCCCTACCCAAGCTGTTTGATGTTCTGAATCACAAAAGTTAGAGACCAGACCAGTAATCAAAATCTGAGAGTAGAGCAGACACTCCTACTGGCTCAGGTTTGACTAGTCCAGTCAGAAGTCAAGTGAATACCCACCAACCCATAAGCCTCACAGCAATTTTCTGCCCTCCTGGGGGAAAGAGCAGTGTCTATGTGGCTTGATTCTGATGACATTAAATTGCCAACACTGATCTCTGCAGCTTTTATCTCAGAAAACTCCATCCTCAGAAGTCCATGGTCAGCATTTCCACCCATGGCCTGGATTCTGGGATTCTGATTGGGTGGTATGTAGAGTAAGTCCTACCTTGGCTAGATCCTGTCTACTGCCTGAGCCATCATCATGGCTAAATAACTCTAGATAGGAAGTCCTTTAAGACATGGGCTGCTAAGTGCCAAGAATACTGCCCCTGCACCACTTAGTATTAATTATTTAATTGGCTAAGAGAGGATATAGATATGTAATACTCAGAAGGATTTAGCCTTATCCTAGGTTCAATTTGAGCTAATCATCAGTCTTTCTGGGAAATGCCTATGTGGGCTTTTCTCAGTAAGTGCAGTCAGCAAGTCTGAACAAAACCTTCCTATGCTGCCTGACACAGCTATGTTTAGACTCATATCCTCCAACACTGTATGACCAAGA